CATAGGATATCCATAATCGACTTGAGGTCAAGTTTCGTTTTACCTTCCCGATTACATTTATCTTATGTTCCATTATCATACCATCAGAAAAATACTATTCGTATAATTACAAACAGTAAACCATTAGTAACACAGAGTAGTCCAATGGCTGAGCGCTCATTTTTTTCAATCCACTGATAATGCATAAGAGGATATCATTGACTCTTTATAGGAGCTATGGTTTCCACTATCTATGAATACCGAATCTACGCATACACGAGTCATACCCCCAATGTACCGGCAAGCGTACCTTTACATAATGTTAGGATGTCTCCCTTTAGTACATCAAAGGATACAAGTCCAGTATACAGGTTCACCATCCATCTCAGGATTAAGATGGCAACATATAATTCGTCAAAAGTGAATTGTTTTATTCAAATAGAATTATTAATTAAAACAATTCAACTTTGGTCCGATCCAATATAGATTTCACCATTAGAAATTATATAAATGTCTCCACCCATGGAGTCCCACCTCCGACGACCAAGACAAGCCGTCTCCGTTAGGAAGTAGACAACATAACAATCTTAACATGAATAAAGCGCCCAACTTTATTCCCTCGATTGTGGATCATAAGATTTAGACTATCATCTTTAGATTCTTGTCTTCCGCATGTTCTTCACATTACTTGCATGACCTAAAGATTTAGAATGACAATCTCAGACTTTCAGTCTGCTTATCATACATTCAACTATTATGAACATAAAGAGGACAATTCATAGATATATAAAATAAACAAATCTTTATTAATAGTCAAAATATCTCAAAGAATATTGTTACATTTATTCCTAAGGGCATAAACGCTAACAGAAGGGAACTGTCTAGGGGTGTTCATCGGTTTTTAACTGACAATTTCGGTCTATTTAAAAATCGAACCAACAATGTCGGTTTTTGAAAATTTTTTTAAAAATTTAAAACCGAAACCGAATCAAAGAACAATGTCTTCGGTCGGTTAACTGACCGATTTTTATCGATCGGTTTCTTACTTACAAAAATTTTTGTAAACTATTTTCTTGTTAAATTTTAACCATTGAAATATTTAATATTTAAATAGTTAAAATTAAAAAGAAAAGATGGCTTAAAAGACAAAAAAATAAAGTCTAAAAGAATGTATCCTTAAAGACTAAGGCTTTACATCTAATCTCAATTAGAAAACTTATTTCAAACACATCAAACTTTTGAAAGTCCTACATTGAAAAGAGATGAGAATGTGTTCCTTCAACTATTCTATATAAATGGTTATGTATTTCATTTCTCCATCACAACTTACAAGAAAGAGACGTCTAACTTTTTTTGAACATCTATCTTCAATAATATGATGGACTTTATTCACCATCTACAAGATTAGAGGTTCGAATATATAGATAATAAATTTTTTTTTAAATTGGTTGGTCAGTTCGGTTTAACCGATCACTTCAGCTAACAAAATCGAAACTGAACCGCCTATGAACTATGGGCAGTAGGTTAACCGACCGAATTAGTTGATTTGTTGACGTTGAACTGAATTTTTTAATTTTTTTTTTTGGTTGGTTTGACGGTTTGGTGCCGATCAGTTTTAATTTTTTAGTTTTTTTGAACACTCCTAGAACTGACGTCAAAATTTATTGAATGAAAAATCACGCTATTGTTACTAACAAAATAATAAACTACATATGCAACAATGCGCTGGATTGATTTTACAACTAAGAAAGTGACCCTTCTTGGGGAGAGGGGAAAAAGAAAAGAAAAAAATTAGTGAGGAGTTTTTATTTTCATTTCTTTTTCCTTTTTTGGCTGGCAAGCTTGTTCTCACATCAAATTGAAATTCGTGGTAATGAGATCTCATCTATGATAAAATTATAAATCATTTAAAATTTAGTTTTTGTCTACAAATTGAAATGGAAGGGATGAAAAATTGGAAAGATCGAGGAATACATATGGAATTATAAGTTAAGCTAATCATAAATAAAACAATTGGAAATGAAGCAAAGTTGATGCCATTAAAAAAAAAACTAATAATAGAAAAATACAGCTATATAAAGTCAAACAAATGACCCAGTGTTAAATATCGAAATCTTCTTTTTTGGGCCATGAGTCCACAGTTGATTATGTGAAAATCCTAGAACTAGAAATCTAGATTTGGTGCAGATTTTTCCAGCTTCTATCATTTAAAAATAATGGAAAAGAAAAAAGAAAAAAAAAAGGTCAAGATTTGATTTATCCCGCTGATAACGCGAAAAAAAACAAATCCATTAAACCATACCCCATCTTAGTTTTGTCCACTTATGGCAGATGCCGACAGCCACGGTTACTCAAGCTAGCATTTGTAAGTTGTAACACATCATAATCACCGACTTCATTTTTAAAGAATTAAAAAAAAAAAAACTGAACTTAAAAGTCTGTTCAATTCGCTGATTCAAGTTGATATGTGATTTTATGTGAGAATTTTTTACTGTAGTAAAAAAGTTAGATGTGATTGTTTCTGAGAGCTTTTTACTGTAGCAAAATTTAAATTCTAAACATGAACGGAGTCTAGGCCCCGTTCATTTCACTGATTTAAGTTTAGAATTTGAGTTTTACTACAATAAAAAACTCTCAGAAACAGTCACATCTAACTTTTTTGTTATAGTGAAAGCTCTCACATAAAATCACATCTTAACTCAAATTAAAAATTTAAATCAGTGAACTGAACAGACCTAATTTTTAATACCATGATGAACTGATCTGTTGCTTGTTGGCGGTGTTATATATATGTATCGTTTTTTTTTAAAACAAAAAAAAATTTGTGGTAAAAGGATCAAATTTTACACCTCAGAATTGAAATTATGGGTAAACTATACCTGCAACTATATTATATGTATATGTAACGTAATATATAATGGACAGTGGAAGAAATTGTCGTATAGATCAAGTAAAAATGATATTTAGCATTTCAATGATGGGTACAGGGGTCAAAAAGCTAGTGGTAAAGATCATGAAATGTAATATTTTGTCCCACGTGCAACAGTTAACTTTGTCCTCAAACTACAATCTGCTTTCTCTGTCTGACCAATCCTTAAATAATTAAAGAAGGGGTCTTAAAGCTTTTAGCCTCTGGCAGTAGCCACACTTGTCGTTTCACTCTTCACTCACTGAAAAAATGGAGTTTTGGAGACAATTCCTTGGTGAGTTTCAGTTTCTTCTGGTTTTTTGCGTTTTAGGTATCTTTGGAGGAGCGGATTCAGCCTCACCCACCTGCTCTTTCCCGGCGCTTTACAACTTCGGCGACTCGAACTCCGACACCGGAGGCATTTCGGCCGCGTTTGAACCGATTCAAGCGCCGTATGGAGAGGCATTTTTCCATAAACCATCAGGGAGAGACTCTGATGGCCGTCTTATTATAGACTTCATTGGTAATTTCCTGTTTCTTTCCCTTTTTGGTTGAACTAAATTGTTTATCTAAGGCCCGTTTTGTACATATACTCAAACCGATGATTATAGTCTGATGCTGTTACGGTGTTTTTTATCACATAAAGAATTTTAATTCAAAATTTTCTTCTCTCTTAAAATTCCCGCCAATAAATGAGAATCACTGATTTAAACGCTTGAACCAAACCGACCAAGTATTGATAACTAAAGAAGTGGCTATATATGAATTATGCAGCCGAGAGATTGGGATTGCCATACTTGAGTGCTTACTTAAACTCACTGGGGACAAGTTACAAGCACGGTGCAAACTTTGCAACCGGAGGTTCAACCATTAGGAGGCAAAACGAGACCATTTTTGAAAATGGGATCAGCCCGTTTTCGCTTGATATGCAGATTGCGCAGTTCAACCAGTTTAAAGCGCGGACTCGGGATCTTTATCAGCAAGGTAAAGTTCTAAAAGGCCTCACCATAGTAGAAAAAATGTATGTTTCTATCTTTTCTTCTTTTTTGAGGCCATTTCTACTTTTAACTTTGTTAGGATTTTCAATCATGTCACGTCAAAAAATCATATCACCGTATTTATATTTTCTTGATGGTTTCTTTTTTTTTTTTTGGTACAAAGTTTATGTATGATAACAGCCTAATATTTTTAGTCGCTTGTGTATTTTTTTGTTGTTTGTTTGATGGGAATCTAACAACCTTTTTTTTTTCTTTTAATGTAATTTGGTGCGCAGCCAAGACTTCCTATGAAAAGAGCAGATTGCCAAACCAAGAGGATTTTGCCAAGGCGCTTTACACATTTGATATAGGGCAGAATGATCTTTCCGTTGGTTTTAGGAGACTGAGTTCCGACCAACTTCTCGCAGCTATACCGGACATTGTCAACCAGTTGGCCAAGGCAGTCCAAGTGAGTTGTTTCTCTAACTGTAATAGTCATTTAAGATGAATGGTATGCGTGAAATGTGGGTGAATTGAACATGTTTTTCTGATGGCTGTGAATGGCAGAATATATATCAACAGGGAGGGAGGTCATTTTGGATTCACAACACCAGCCCGATCGGGTGTATGCCTGTCAACTTTTTCTACAATCTTAATCCACCACCTAGTTATGTTGACCAGTATGGCTGTGTCAAGACTCAGAATGACATGGCAGTAGAATTCAACAGACAGCTCAAGGACAGAGTGATCAAACTAAAATCAGAGCTTCCAGAAGCTGCTATAACATACGTTGATGTCTACGCAGCAAAAATTAGAATGATTGGTAATGCAAAAGCTGAAGGTAATCATCAACTACCCTCATCAATATGATCATTCTTGACAATACCCTTTTAAGCTTCAGGCCTTGTTTTGTGGGAAGGAAAAGTGAGAAGGTGGGAGAATCAGTGGATGGATTTTAATACTTGTAGATGTTTATGGTTATTTGGTAAGAGGGATCAGAAGAGATCGGGAATGGTTGGGCGAGGGATTCAAAATCCTCCACATGACAACAATTTTGATCTTTCCAAAGTTGGAAGGATTGGAGGAGAGAATCCATCCCAAGCACAAGAAAGGTCTCTCTCTCTTAGTAAACACAGCCTTCAGATGTGTTGCTCTTTAGAGACAAATACAATGACATTAGATAAGTGCAAATTCTAGAAGTAATCTGAAAGAAAACCAACGATTGATAATTCTACTACTTCTATCAGAAACTGATCTATTTCACATACTGTAATTTGTAGGATTTTCGGATCCATTGAAGGTCTGCTGCGGTTATCATGTGAAATACGACCACGTCTGGTGTGGGACGAAAGCACTTGTGAATGGAAGTGCAGTGTTTGGTGCGTCTTGTGAAAATCCTGCTACTTCTATCAGTTGGGATGGAGTTCACTACACCCAGGCTGCTAATCAGTGGGTTGCTAATCACATTCTCAATGGTTCCTTGAGTGATCCGCCAACTCCAATCACTCAAGCATGCCACAGGCATTAGAGTTTATGATAGCATGTATTAAGATTAAGAATCAGAGTGAAAAGAATAATAATAAAAAAAATAGTTCTAAAATGTGCATCAGAAAGCGGAGTTTGAGAATCAACTGGATTGAAACCAGAAAGTCGATCTCTCCTTCTAGACCTTATAATTATGCGGGGTTACCTTATTTATTCATGACCGTTTCTCTCCCTAAACATGGCTATATCTGGTTTACCTCTCTATTACTAAATATAATCTGAAGCTCATAAATTTCACATTACCATGGCAATTAATTTCTCAGGTTTTTTTTTTTTTTTTTTTTTTTTTTTTTTTTTTTTTTTTTAAATATGTGGAAGAGCTTTCTTTGTATGAAGTTGAGAACAAACTGCAATGCTTTTTTCTGTTAAATGCTTCATGAGGTATCTATTGTTGACATTGCAAGTATATTTTGTGTTTCTGACAGCCTATCAACTTCAAATCTCAAGTTCGAACCATTATCTCCATGTTCTTGGATCTTTATAAATTTAGGATTTAGTATTAGTTTTGCACTGCTGTAGGTTTTGGAAGAATTGTTGACCATAGGAAGTGAAATTTACTTTGGGGGGAAAAAACACTCTTTTTAGTAAGCTTTCACTCGCTCTAAGCTAATAGACTAGGTAAGCTATAATGCATATCAATCCAAAATGAAAACTGGTATTAAGGAAAGTTAAACCAAGTAATTTGAGAACTCTACATTGTGAAAATCCGGAGGCAATGCAAATTACATTTATATTCAAACCTATTTAACAGGCAAGTACAGACCTATAATCGCGCCAAGCTTCAAAATTGTAACAATTAACATCACTAGCAGTAGCAGCATACAGATATGAGAAACAAACATGTTTCATTATTCATTCTACATTAACCTATCAACAAAATGTAACACCTGAAGTCCCACAAAGAGAACACAAAGATAATTCAACAAACAGAAAAACTAACATAACTAAACAGATCATTCGATGATTGACTGAATGACACCAGCTCCAACAGTCTTCCCACCTTCTCTAATGGCAAACCTCATCCCTTGCTCACAAGCAATCGGCATTATAAGTTCCACAACCATCTTAACCCGGTCGCCAGGCATAACCATCTTGGACTCCTCATCCTTGTCATTCATAACCTTAGAAACCTTCCCGGTAACATCGGTCGTCCTCATGTAAAACTGCGGCCGGTAACCTGCAAAGAACGGCGAGCTCCTCCCGCCTTCTTCCTTCTTCAAAACATACACAATGGCCTCGAATTTTGTGTGCGGGGTGATGGTGCCAGGCTTGGCAATAACCATCCCTCTCCGAATATCAGTCTTCTGAATTCCTCTAAGCAAAACCCCCACATTGTCACCAGCAAGAGCCTCATCAAGGATCTTCTGAAACATCTCAACCCCAGTAACTGTGGTGCTCCTAGTCTCTCCAAGCCCAACTATATCCACAGTGTCTCCAACCTTGACAGTTCCTCTCTCAACACGCCCTGTCGCCACTGTCCCGCGGCCGGTGATCGAAAAAACATCCTCAATCGCCAAGAGGAACGGTAGATCGGTTTGCCTCTGGGGAATTGGAATGTAATTGTCAACTTCATCCATCAAATCGTAGATTTTATCAACCCACTGATTCTCTCCCCTCTTGATTTTGGGGTTCGCCATTAGAGCCTCTAGAGCCAACAATGCGGAGCCGGAGACCATCGGAACCTCGTCGCCGGGAAATTCGTAGGAGGAGAGAAGATCTCTGACCTCCAATTCGACCAGTTGGAGAAGCTCCTCGTCGTCAACCTGGTCCTGCTTGTTCAAGAAGACGACCATGTTCGGGACGCCGACTTGCTTGGCGAGCAAGATGTGCTCCTTCGTCTGCGGCATGGGGCCGTCGGCCCCGGAGACGACGAGAATCGCGCCATCCATCTGAGCGGCGCCGGTGATCATGTTCTTGACGTAGTCGGCGTGGCCGGGGCAGTCCACGTGGGCGTAGTGGCGGTTCGCAGTCTCGTACTCGACGGTGGCGGTGTTGATGGTGATGCCCCGGGCACGCTCCTCGGGAGCCGCGTCAATCTCGTCGTACTTCTTCGGCGCGCTGTTCCCCATGGAAGCCAGCGCCATGGTTAGGGCTGCCGTCAGCGTCGTCTTGCCGTGGTCTACGTGTCCTATCGTCCCGATGTTGACGTGCGGCTTCTTGCGCTCGAACTTCCCCCTAGCCGCTCGGACCACGAGCGATCTCCGGCGAGGGCCGGAGATTTCGGTGGACGGAGATATCGAGAGAGGAACATGGGTGAAGGAGGAGAGGAGGAAAGAGGGTTTAGAGGGTTTTGAGAAAAAAAGGTTAAAAGAGAGAGCGGGAGTTGAGGATGGTGTTCGAGATGGCAAGAAAGGGAGTTTGAATGAGGAAGACGACGGAGCTCCGATCATGGACGCCATGGATTCGAGAAAGAGACTTGCAGAGTGGGACTGCGACTGCGACTGCGAGAGACGGGACAAAGGTCATAACAAACAGAGAACGTTTGAAAACAATAGGTTTTCAATCGTGGAATTCTAAGCCGAAACGCACCGTTTTGATATTTATGGTTTTCCATTTTTTTTTTAGTTTTTTTTTTCTTAAAACGAGTTTAGGATTTTAAAATTTTTTTTTTTTTTTGTTAAGATGCTTCAGTAGGGGAGAGGGACAAGCACAAACAACCAACACCAGGGTTGTGCCTGATGTTTTCTAAAGCCCCGTTTATTTTACCGATTTGAGTTTAAAATTTAAAATTCTTTAAAAAACAATCATATTTAACTTTTTTGTTTACAGATCTCGCATAAAGTCACATTTCAATTTGAATTAACGAATTAAACGGGCCCTAAACTTGAAATTCTTTGTCAACATTAACACACACAAAAAAAAGAGAGAACGTTGTTGGGGGAAAAAATAATAATAAAGAGAAGCTGAAATTCAAAGAAAATCCAATAATGGAAGGGAATGAGATATTAAAAGATCATATCAATATCAAATTCTCTGATTACAATATTAAATTGTAATTAGAAAAAGGGAAATCAATTTATAAAATACAATGACGAAAAAAAAATCGGCCAACAATTACAACAAATTACCATTAAAGAACGTGCCCAAATTATACATTAGGGTATTACATGTTCTTTTTAATATGGAAACTAATTATAGCTAGTAAATGTAATGTTATGTTAGTTGTAAATTCGTGACTAGTTCAATTAGTGTTAAGTGGATGTGTGAATTGTTTTCATTTGTATTGAGTTCTACGGATAATAATATTTAAAAAAAAAGAAAAATCGCTTTGTTAGTTAGTACGAAAATAGTACCTTAGAGAGAGAACAGAATTGTGGCGTGAAAAATTCCTAAGTTTTCAAATGTGGGATAATGCAGTGTTATTGCTAAGCAAGAAAATAAACAAACACTGAGGCGTGGTAAAGGAGGTCTTAGTCCTTACAATAATGGGCAGTAGATTCTTCAATTTTTATACACGAATCATAAACTTATTACAAACAACAAAAATCACTGCCGATGTCCTTCTGGCAGGGCAACCACATTATAGAAGGGCACAGTCCTCTGAGGCAAGGAGCCGTCTTCCTCGTCGTCGTCGAATTCCAACAAATACCTGCCCAACAAACACATGAAAAGTGTTAATGACACTATCTTAATAGTTCTCCTAAATACTAATGCCATTTTACATTTCTAATGCAATTTCTAATGCACTTTGTGAGTTAGGTCACCGAAGAACACAGATAGACGTCACTTACTCATCCGTCTTCCTCTGAAAGTTCATAGAATGGTTGAAGTTCCGCACCATGAAAAAAGATACCGAGTTGTTAGTTACACATGAATAAGAATGGAATCCATAGTTGGAAGCATTTTAAAACAGGTGAATAAGAATGAATGGGTGGAATCGTCACCTTGCGGTGGCCATTTACCACAGTAGCCTTATAGAGTGCAGTTGTTCCTGGATAGACCGCCAAAACATGTCTTCCGGGTGGGAAATCCGGGGCACTAGAAGGATCGTTTCTCTTGGGAAAAGGAATAATAGATGACATAGGCACCATGTACTTCCTGAGAAGAGAACTGAATAAACAAATCTGTCACCAAAAAAATGTACTATAATATAGTTGATCGAATTGGTAGATAGGCGAAAAACTACAGAACCATATAGTTTATGGTGCAAGGACTGTTTACACACTCTGAACCTTAGATCTTACCATAAATATGCCAACAAGTTATAGAACCTTAGATCTTAAGACGAAAACACACACCTGTTTTATTTGTTATCACACAATAAAGAGAATTACAAATATGAAAATTTAAATTTCCTTTAAATTTACGACCGAAACCAGTGAGACATGTAAATTCATAATAGGCCCCACAAGGTCCGCAACACAAGTAAACAAAGCCAATAAAATTTGTGAGAATTCAAAATAAGATTCAATATAAAGCAGATGAATTAAATTGATAAACACTGACAATAAATGGACTTCTATGACAGTTACCTTTGATCAGTACTCTCTTCATCATCACCGGGTTCCTCATCTAGTACTTCAAACCTGCACAGAATATCCCAACAAATAAGGATAAAGAGGGATATGAAGTAAATAAAAGCCCCAGTAGAGTAGCTTCATAATAAATAAAATTCATAGACTGCAAACTTGAATCCAGCACTGGCATACAAATAAAAGAAGCTGCTAAAACAGAGAGCTTAGTCTAAATTTAGAAACATAACATTGTACGTTCAGAAGCCGAACTCACTCTTTTTTTTCCTTGTCAAAATGAATCACTTTAACAACAAACCACTCGTCCTTATCACCATCTCCTGGATTGACCTTGGCTGCTACCTATATTTAGAGTGTCAAAAAGTAGTAATGTATGTAAGCATACAATTCAAAAATAAAATGTTATGAGTACGAAACCAATAAAAAGTTAGGACATGAATACCTGCTCCCCCTTTAGACTAGCAAAAGTTTCGAGTTGGCTTCGCATGGAAGCAGAGAGTCTTGAAATATCTGACTCGTTTTTCACTCTCTTCCTCTTCTGATCGCTACCTTCTGGAATGTACGTAAAGATCAGCTTAAGGAACAAATAATGGTGTTGCCAAAAGAAACTTAAATTCAGTCTAGAAATTCTATTCCATTCCGTGTGCAAATTTTTTTCTAATCTTAGAAAAACTTGCATGTTACTTCATGAAACTTGATAAAACATCCTATTTCAAGTGGTTCAAAATTGATTTGATTAAATCTCAAAGCGCAGTTCAAAACACTTTTTTTTTTTTTTCCCTTTTGCTGCAAGCCTCTTGTTGCTGAAAACTCGGGAAATATGTGACAGCTTACCAGCATTAACATAAAAGATACAAATTAGGCACAGTAACATGCGATAATTTATCTAAGAGGTTTACCATTTTTTGTCACCAAAGCATGCAAAACGTACTTCTATGTTTGGTCATTTTTAGAAGAAGTTTCACACAACTATCGCAGCATAGCCATGTTCTCGAGTTGGTAATTGACATGCAGAAGTGAAATAATTGTTTTGAGTTTCTGGCCGCAAATGTAGGCAAGACGATATAAAAGTTACTGTAAAATCTAATGAGCTGTACATGTAAAACACGTGATTTACCCTACCTTCATGTCATTTATGTTCAAAAGAGGAATTATTTATGTTCAAAAGAGGAATTATTTATGTTTCCATGTCATTGACTCTTGATTTTACTCAAATAAAGCACTTTTCTTTTTTTTGGTGTGTACAAGGATAGAACCCTATATAGCACTTCTTGGTACATTTTATTTTCTTACTGAGAATTACGCTAAGCCTAAGGCAGGATTTTCTTGGAGAAGGATACAAGCGGAAAAGTAAAGGGAAAGCAAAAGGAGTTATGACAGTTTAATATTAACAAATTAAATTAGAATGTTCCTTTAATATTGATAACCTTCAACACCGTACTTATATTTAGAGACTGGTCACAAGTGAGAATCATAAGCTTTTTGGTTATACAAACCAGCAATGAGTTCATAAGATGCGAGCACATACCTATCCTTCGCCGTGGCTGGCCTGGAGGTCCAGAAGGAAGCAGGGTGTCGAGTTGACTCAACAACAAATTAGAAACACTGCAACACACATACAGCATTGAAATTGCATATAATCCGAAGCAATGATGATCGGTAGTATCGATAAGCCTAAGTTTAAAACATGAAGTTATTAACTCCATTAAAGTTATAAGATAACATACCCTACTTCATCTTCCGAAAGCTGCTTAGCATGAGCATATAAATTCTTCAGCTTAGTTAAGGAATTATCTCCAGGCTTCTCAACCACCTCAGGAGCTGCAAAGAAGTACAAAAGAAAAATGGTTAAAATATAAATACAACTAAAAAAGAAGTTATTCACATATAATCAAATCATTGGTGATCAATGGTGATCAATGGTGATATGATTTTGCTCCAAAAGATAAAATACAACTAAAAAAAAAAAGTCATTGAAATTCATATAATCAAATCATGGATGATATAGTCTCATAATTACAAATGTAACAGCAGTGAATTAAAGTTCAACACTAATTTCAGTATTAAAATAATCATTAAGAGAAAAATTTAGAATATCATCACTGTCTGAATTTAATCATTGAAATCAAACAGATTTAAAAAAAAAAAATTTCGTATGCTTGCACAACAATGCATATTGAAGAATCGAACCATCAATAATTCGACGTTAAAACGCATGTTAATAAAAATGAATCAATCTATTAATAAATAAGTTACCCAAATAGCAATAAATAAATAAAGAAAGAAAAAAAAGAAGGAAATTTCAGGATTTGAAAAGACTCACTAGCTTGAAGCTTCTTGTGCATCTTATTGATCTCAGTAAGAACTTCCTCTTGCTCTTTCCTTAACCGATCAAGCTCCTTCGAGTTGTCCAGAATTCCTGCAATGTCCGGCGACGACATCGGTTCGACACTTCCCAAAATTCGCTTCCTTAATTTCCGCGAAATTCCGAGCTCGGTTTTGCCTTCACGATTCCAGTCCGATCATCTCATTTTACGACCAAGAAATATCTCAGTGTAATAACCGCAAATTAAATTTTTTTTCTTAATAATATAAAAAAAATTAAGAAATCAGGGGATATTCTTTACGGGTGACCCAAAAACTGTAAATTTATAATCGGATAATTGGAAAATTGGCTCAGAAAAGTATTAACTGAAAACGTGGAGATGAATTTTTAAACTGGACGGGGAAAGTGAATGCACGACGTCGTTGCGAGAGTTTGTGGTTCTCACCTTTAGGTCTAGCAATTCAAATATTAACACGATGACACGATTCGAAACTCGCATAAAATTAACATATTTAAATTTATTATAAATAAGTTTGAGTCATAATTAAGTTAATATAATTAACATAATTAATAAATGAATTAGGTTAAAGTTGATCTCTTAACACGAATTGACTCAATTAATTATATTGCTATATACAATTTATTGATATGTGATATAACATTAAAGTTTATATGATATATTAAATATAAATAATGTAAATTTTAATATTTGTAGGTAAAATTAATTTATTTTTCTTAAAAAAAGATAAATTGACCTATAAACATATTAAATATGTCTTGATGGTGTTAAATAAGTAATTATTATATTAGTTATTTATTCAATATATTAATTTAAACGGGTTATATAAGTTAACATGATTAACACGATTAATAAATGAGTCGTGTTTTAATTGATATTTTTGATACATTTAATAAATAAATCGTGTTTAAATTGATATTTTCTGACACGATTAATAAATAGATTGATACAATAAATTAATACGAACACGACTTACTAATACGAATTGTCACCCTTACTTACCTTTTTGTTTATTTATGATTTTCTTTTCTTTTCTTTTCTTTTCTTTTGAAAAATATTTTCTGTTGGGGGAAAGTGAAAATCGATATTGATATTTTTTTTTTCAAAGGAAAATCGATATTGATATTGAATTAAATAAATACAGCGTATTTTTTAGAGGATGAAAATTGAAGAAGGTCTTTCGGCTCTGCGTTGTTGGGTGGAGTCGTGGCGTACCTCTGATCATAGACTACATCTGCCACGTGTCAAAGGATGAGTAGTTTGTAGTTTTAGAAACTAGATGGTGAAAGCTCGTGTATTTTTTTTTTGTATTTTTAAATATTATGACAATTTTAAGTAAATAAAATGAAAATATAAAGTTTTTATCAACTTTACAGTTTGCATACATTTCATTTTGATGGAACTTCGGCCCCGTTCATTTCGCTTATTCGAGTTTAAAATTCAAGTTTTATTACAGTAAAAATTCTCAGAAACAGTCACATTTAACTTTTTTGTTATAGTAAAAAATTCTCACATAATGTCACATCTCAACTCGAATTAAAAATTCAAATTAACGAACTAAACGGCCCTTCGATGACATCTAACGCTCATAAACGTGTATATCTATAGAGCAACTGAAAAATAAAAAGCTTATAAACGTCAGTGGGATATGTTCAAGAACAAAAAAAGTATCGAAGAAAAAATTCGGATGAAACAACAGTATTTTAGTGGAGACATGGAAATTTGTAAGTTTTTTTTTGCTCACATAAATTTGTAGGTTAAATTAGATAAATTGAAAAAAAAAAAAAAAAATTGAATGGAGCACATCAGTCTACTGTAGAATGTAAAATAAATAAATGATTATAATAATGAAGTAAGAGAGATTTCAAAAGGAATCTCTCGAACAAAAAATGATTGTAAATATTGTTCATAAAATACACCATTTTCAGTGAAAACATGCAACGATACTTTAATAGTTGCAATGGTTGTGAAAAGTTATGATCATTTGTACAATACAACGAGAAATTTTTTGATACGGGTGTATCAATAAATTAGATTTTTTATGTGACAATTCTAGCTACATGACCGTCATTAATACTTTCTAAACTCGTGACTACATAAAGTACTGGAATTAACTATAGTGAATTAGTGAAAAAAAAAAAAATTATACCAAAATAAAGTTAAACTTAATATTTTATTTTATATATATAAGTTTTCTCAAAAATACAATTCAGTTCAAGTCTCATTAGCCATATGGCATTCATATAATTTTAAATTTATAACTTAACAAAATATAGTGCGAAATAAAATACGAGCAGTATCTATTTATCAAATCTCCACATTGTTCAGTCGCCGCTGCATACAGCCCATCATTCATTTTACATAGACTGTTTACCTACAGTACAAATACATATTAGGGGTGAGTTTACACTCAGTAAGTTAGAATTATGTCTCGCTAATTAAAATATAGTACTTAGAGTATAATAGTAATGGATGTACCAATTATGCTCGTTTATGAATTTGACTTATTAATCTTATAGGCCTGATTGTTCGTATCGATTGTGCGCGATCAGCGGGTAGAGAGGGTTTGCAAGGTCCCCAACTACACCGTGACCTTAATTCATTTCATCAATTTTTTCTTGAACATAAGCCCCCCAGTCTCGGGAGGTTAGTACGACACTCAACTTAAAACTGTCCTCATTAGTTTCATTAGTGAGCATGCGATATGACATGGCATGTCATACTATAACATATAGCATAAACATGTATAGAAAACATGTATAATATTTCACTTTAAAACTTATTCATACTGTAGGTGAGATTCTCATTTACCTGTTATCTGCAAAGGTTGGGACTAGTAATTCTCGCCGAGGTTTACCTCTACAATTGTATTTTGTAAAGAAAACCCACTGAGGTGTGAGTTTGACTTATTGTAAGCTAATCTATTTAGCTTCGTCTACTTAGGAATTTATTCTTATACTTAGAAAATATTTTCCTTTTTAAATAAGGATGATATTACAAGGATTATTTTAGATAAATCATTATCATTTAATTTTCCTTAATTGTCTTTGCTTAATCGGTCCTAGGTTCATAAGTTAGCCTTTTAAGTAGTTATTTAAACCATAGTCTATGTCTAAGCTAACAATTCATATTATTTAGGGAGAAAGGGGGAAATAGGCCAAGACTTAAGATGAATTAAAATTAATAGGCCAATAGTTTACATAAGTTAATAAATAGGCCAAATTACTGTTTTTGTCCATAACTTGTCTGGTTATGAACTATAACTTGACAAGTTATTGTCCATAATTCACGATTTTTATCCATAACTTGTCTAGCTATGAACCATAACTTGACAAGTTTGTCCATAACTTATCTGGTTATGAACCATAACTTGACAAGTTATGGCCTATTAATTTCTATAACTAAAAATTTGCCTATATACTTTTTTAAGCTTTTCATATTGACATATTTTATACTATTTTCGTATTATTTATTAGATTGGGCCCAAACTAGTATTAAGGCCCACTAGTTTACTACATGTCTGCAACGTTCCTATACTCCTATGTATCAAGCTTAGGCTCAAAAAGTTATAGGCCTAGTACGGGTGTTGGGCCTGTATCTAATGTTTATTAGAAATTCCCAAGCTGATCCTATTTTAAAAATCGTTATAGTAAATCACATTTTACTGTTAGTCATATTGTCGGTTACTTAAAATTAGTGTCGGAAGACACATAACGATTTTCTTTAGAAAATTACCGTAAATTTATAAAACTTTATTAAAATTCCTTTTTAAACCTCAATTGCTAGGTAGTATATTAAACACTCATATTTTGTATAACTTTAATTTAAACATTTTTCAGAGAAAACGTTTTTCATTAAACATTAGAACTGTTTATAAATTTTACTGGTTACGTTTGACAGTTTTTCTTAAACTGTAAATAACTCTATCTTAGAGTTGAATTCTTAAAATCCGAGGCTGACGATATTTCTTTGTCTTGTCGCGATCTAAAATTCACGTGTTTTGTGAAAAATGAGGTTCGGCCTCGAAACGATATGAAAGTTTTAAAAACGAGGGCTGCACAAATGTTATTTTGTGCAGTTTTTGAAATATGGCTTGAAAACACGTCTTAAGTCGCGATCGTAATTTTTCACAGTCACATAAATTTGTTTGTAACGTTGAAATCTTTAAAACTCGATGGTTAGAAATCCCGAAATTGCCCTCTAAAGGGTCTGAAAACAGTCAAAACAAAAACTGTATTAAATTGACAATTTTGGATAGTTTTTATGAATTTCTGGGCAGTTTTAGAAAAACGTCCAAAAGTACATTTTAGAGGCAGAGTTGGGACTTTTCTTAGTCACAGTGGAATGTTCAGAACTTCAAGATCTAAAATTTTTGTGGTAGTATTTTTCTCAATTTGGACTCTAACAGCTTCAAATTTTAAGTCAAAGTGGACTGCAATTTTTAAACCATAAACATAAACCTGACAACTTAAAATCTACATCATTTAGCTTTTAGAAATGAACATGCATGGCTTAGATCAAGACTTGAACACACTAAATAGTAACCATAGACCATAAAATCCAAACCTAAAATCATAGATCTAACATTAAAACCCATTGCACGTGAAGATCTAACCATAAAAATACAAACTTTGCTCTTAAGAATGGAAAGATCAAATTTTTTTTATGATGAACCTTACCTAAAATCTTAAGAGAAGATGGTTTTGATCACAACAAGAGAAGGTCCTACAAAGACATAAACTATTTTAAAGAAAGCTTGAAACTTTGAGAAATCAAAAGGAAAAATGTAGTAAGAACATGAATTTTACCCTTAAATGTGTTAGAAAAAATCAACACAACTTCTTCTGTGTGGTGAGAAGTGAAAAAATTTGAGAGAGAGAGAGAGAGTAAGAGGGTGGTTCGGCAAAGTTAGAGAGAAAGAGAGAGTGAGTAAAGAAAATGGTTAGAAGAGAAGGAAATGGTAAAAGAATGACCTTAATTTTATGTGGGGTATTTATAGACAACTAAGCTTCTATTCTTAATCTCTCTAATTAGACTTAATTAAGCTAAAATCTTGCTTTAAACAAGCTTAAGGGTGGCACCCATACATAGGAGAATGAAGAAAAATTTTGACACCTCATAAGGAATCTTAACCCACATCAAATTAATGTCAAACTTTGTCTAATTTTTGTCTCCCACTAACTCTTCTTTTATCAATTTAAATTTGTACTGACAGTTATTTTTAGATTAGTTTTTAGGAAAAATGTTTTTCAATGGTTTTTAGTCCACTGTTTAAAATCACAATCCAACACAAATTTCGGAAAGAACTAATACTGATTTCGATTTTAAATCGCG